TCATTCAGCCTGAAGCTTTACGCCCATGATGCCATCCATGATTGTTGATCATGCTTCTTGACGTGCAGATAATTCAAAAGCAATGTGACATTTCATCACTATCAACTTTCGAAGTGACATTCACAACTGGTAATGTTTTCATTTGATTTCATGTATCTTTACTCGTCACATATCTCGGACCGATGACTTCACCATACTCTCAAGTTCGTTCATGTCAAGTATTTTAAGAAAGGTAACTGGATAATTCGAGGAGAGCAGCCATTAGTTGATGGATCCTACCGTTAGCGCTTGGAGTCTTGGATGCACACTTCCTTCCCAGAACCATATTTCCGGAGCGGGATCGCAGCAACAAGTCTAACTATGTATAACTAAAGAACCGACTGAAATTCCGAAAGCTCCCGATGATTCGACACACAAGTCACAGCTAGAATAGTACTCCCGTACGGAAATTCCCGATTTGGACCCATTTGCTGATGCGACGTCGTAAGCTTGCCCAATTGTCAAGAATGTCATGGTCGATGATTCCAAAAATTGTCATTATTTTAATGTAGTCTGTCGGCCGAAGCCCATTCATGCATGGATGAATGCTTTAACGGCTCTTGTGCATATGGAATATTGAACCGTGAAATCCTAACAAGAGCCTCAAACAATCTAGATCTTAGGACCCTTAATATCAGGGTTGGATTTTAAGAGCCCCTTCGGCGTAACTGTTTGTTATCTTTCGTTTCATGAATCGTGCGTGAGTGGATGTAGACGCAGGCTTAATCTTACTATTGCAGACTTCAGATCGCAGGATATGCTAATTGGAACTCTTGTAAATCGGTTGACGGCATTATAAGATTAATTATACTGCAATGTTAATGTGATTGCGCAGTGCACTCTGGAAGAAACTTGAAATCGTTTTAAAATCCGGTTGTCGCGGCTGCAGTGTAAATAAATTCGTGATCCGATGTCCAGCTCTGCGTAGGCAACCTGAGCAGTGAGCACTCACCAGTGACCACCAATGCTACAAGACGGAAGAATTTACAAGCGAAAAAAATAGACCTAACTTATTTCTGCGTAGTTTGCACGCGATAATCATTGACCGTTTGTTAGAAACAAGTTGGAGCAACTTTTGAACGGGTTCAAACTTCAAAGTGGATATCGCCGTCCCCCATTTTGGGGATAGATTGAAGATCCACTCATTTCGCATTCGTTTTGCATGTGAAGAGATCCATATCGGGTCGATTAGGCGTTGCAGAGCTGCAGTTAATAATTTCTATTTTCCGCCTCCTTTTGAGACAAACACTAGGAACACCTCGTGCTAGGCCCACCGAATTCGGAGCGACTGCGGTGTATTGATCGCAAAAACGTTGTAACTATTGGGGCAGAGGCTACTTTGAGGATTAGGGAAGCGAAACGACTAGAAATTAATTAATTGCTTGCGATTCTTCGTGGGGGAACCATGAAAAGTTCAAATAGTGAACACTGAACAGCCAGCCACCAAGGATCTATTCTGCACGGCCATGGAATAACATGTGCTCAGCATTGGAGGTGCATATGCGGGGGCAAGATGGGCGGAAGGTTTCGCGAAGGTGACTGGAGCTGGAACTGGGTACCCTAGGGGAAATGCTCGTCAGGATTTCAACGAATGGCTGCGAAGGGTAGGCGAGACAATTTAAACCATGGGATAAAGTTGTGAACTTTGCGTGGGGGTTCAACAATGGATGCGAAGTGCGGAAGGGCATTTGAGGTCAAAAAGGGAAATGATTTGACGTCCTCGATGGGTTCCTAGCTAGCTTTGAAAGTTCGGAGATGTCGTCCGTTGGATAAATCGAGGAAAGGAGGAATAGGTTCCCGATGTAAGGACTCGGGAGGAATCTATCAAGCTTGGTGTAACATTTGGTGGTCGTGAAGATCGAGTTGTATGCCTTGATAATGATGTGTCGATAATGGATCTCGTTTATTGTGGCGATTATTAATGGTGTATAATCGTAGTCTTGTGTTGTATGTGTGTATTGATCGTCATATCGTAAGAGATGGCCATGGATGAACTCCCCAGTATTGTTTGAATATCATGTGACGTCCATTGATTTGAGTCGAGTTCGAGTTTCTTCACAAAGTTCCAGTTGAAAAGTCGTACATCGCATCACTCGATAATGGAACATGATCAATGATACTTTTAACATGAGGGCACACGACATCTTATATAACCCCGACTCTAATCACATCTGCATCACGCCTTATCTATCTTTGTCGGTTTCAACATCGGGTCTACAAATGATACCATCCTGCACAATCTAATCATGACCGACAAGGTATTTTGCATTCCTGGAAAAGGCTGATTGATTATATCTTGGCCTCCTATTCGGTTCACGACGACGCTTGTACCCATTTCTCCTTCCGCTGATAACATAGATGGCCATATCGAGAAGAGATAAGTGAATATGTGCCTTTCTATTTGGCCATTTGCTGTTATTTGAGGGAAGGTCGCACAAGATCAGGAACGTGGGTCCCCAGTACCTTTGGAGATCATTTCCTTCTTTTCCTCCCAAGATACAACAACCTTAATAGGCAACTCAACTTTTTCTTCTTTGACTTTTTCCTATGCCCCTTCAAAGTCCATATTAATGTGAAGGAAACGCAAGAGTCAAGCGTTAGTCATTCATCGGTATAAAACCTTATCTTGCTCTCTATCTTGTCGATTTCTTCTCATACATCCGTCTGATAGTCTTCAGGGAGTTAAAATGCTGTAGCAGATAGGAAGCCCTTAATAGATCTCCATTCCATTGATTCTGCCGTTCTGTTTGTTGCATTTCCTACTTTGTTATGTGGGTAAAGAGTATCATGTGCGAGGTGGACTGATAGGGTAAAATCGACCCGACGCAGCATCTTCTGTTTGCCTTATCTACGGCACCAATTCTGAAATTTTATCTCTCAAATGTCGACTACTTGAATCTATTTCCGTTGTAACATTTGTCGGTCGTCTAGTTATCATCTGAGTTTCCTTTTCCCTCAAATCCGGGGTTGGACTGTCAGCCTAAGGTTTTCGGATTCACAAAAAGATTCATCATTCACTAGTTACAGCTTACTGTCCAAAATAACTCCAAGAATACTCCGATAGATTAGTTTTTGGCCTACAGCATGGAGTATAATCGTAATTCGAATGATCCTTCAATGGACATTGATAGTTATCGAAAGTACCGTTTACGCAGCGTTCACTTTCTCTACTGAGATGGCGGCGCACATTTCTTCGATCCTATTTATATCACAACAATGACGATAATTTATCCTTATGACTATGGCTAGGCAACTTCGAGATTCACCTTCTTTGTCTTCCACATGACATCCCAAAATAGGTCGTGAATCAATGGAGACCATGTTTTGTCTCCGTCTATTCACAAACATTAAAGTTCGACATCGAGTTCCTTTGATAAAGTCGATCTAGCCGAAATGGCTTCAATATCTACCCTTCGCGAAAGCCATGGTAACTTATGGCTACCGACTCGACAATATTACTGTCTCATACAATACAATAACCTCATACGATATGACGACCCCGAACTATTCTGAAGAGGTCAGCGGTTCAGTCTCGGCCGCAGTAGGCATTTTGACATCGGCAACTCCAAATTTGGTCATTCCGGTCGATACTGCTAGTATCTCCACGTCGACTAGTAGTACACTGGCTGCTATTGAAAGCTCGATATCACAACCAGCGTACTCGGTACCAGATCCTAATGTCCTCGTAGTTACTACCTTTTCAACCACGACTGTTCCATACACAGATCCAGTTGTTCAAGTTCCTACTCAGCCAAGCACTGATAATGTCGAGCCCACCCTCGTATCTACTTTCCTCCTTTATGGTTTTCCTGTAGCCGTGACACCCTCGAGCACTATAGATATCGCTCCCTCTGTTACCATACTCCCGACTATCCCACCTATTGCTCCCCCCCTGCTGAATTCCACGTCACCAACGTCCTTTTCAACTCTAACGCTATCATATATCGATCCTACCAGCTTAGAAACATTAACCTCTACACCACCACCAACACCATTGTCGCCGATATCGTCATCGTCATCGTCATCGTCATCGTCATCGTCAGCCAATAATCCCGCCTCCACCACCTCTACTATACCGCGACCCACCACTTCTAGCAACTCCTCATACATGCCAATTCTGTCGGGGTCTACGTCGGAGCCGCAACTGGT